AAACTCTTATAGAATGTATTATATATCATAGTTCTGAATAATAGCATACTTAAAATGAAAACCATGATACTTATATGAGAAGTTGTTCATAGTTCAAGATAGTTCATTGTATTTCTCTTGTACTTCACTCGTACTCCCTTGTAATTCCTTGTACTTCACTCGTACTTCCCTGTACTTCTCTTGTACTTCCCTGTACTTCACTTGTACTCCCTTGTACTTCACTCGCACTTCCATGTACTTCCATGTACTTCTATCGTACTTCCATGTACTTCCATCGTACTTCAAATTTTTTTTGAAGTAGACGAAGTCGCGCTTTTTCCCCCTTGGTACCATCCCCATCGTTGCGGCGGCGCTAATGCAATTCTAGCAATTTGATGAGCTATACGGACTGCAATTTGANCTTCTCTTGTCCTTCTCTTGTGCTTCTCTTGTACTTCTCTTGTACTTCCATGTACTTCCATCGTACTTCCATCGTACTTCAATTTTTTTTTGAAGTAGATGAAGTCGCGCTTTTTCCCCCTTGGCCACATACCACACCCACATCCAAATACGATGGCCTGGTGTGAAGTTTCATGAGTCGAGACTTTAAAGGTCTACAGATGTATACCGCTTCTGCGGCCAACGGCGCTTGGAGCGTCTTGGAGTGTATTTTACTAATACTCGTGCGGCAGCGACTTTCATTTTACACTCTATTTGATCAATTTCGATCGTTTTCTTAATGTTTCGACCCATTGTAAATGCAATCTCACAATTTTTTGTGAAACACGACCTTTGTGAAACACGACCTGAAAGGAGTGTTGAAGTGTTTAGGGTAGAAATTTTGCACCCCCCCCCACAGACCGCTCCCGACAGCTAATTTACCCATCACAGATCGTTACCGACAGCTAATTCACCCATCACAGACCGTTACCGACAGCCAATTTATTCATCACAGACTGTTACCGACAGCTAATTTTCGCATGACAGTCGGCTACCAATACGTAATTTACCCATGACAGAGCGTTACAGAGAGGTAATTTACCCATCACAGACCAATAGCGAGAAACAACTTACTCATTCAAAACCGTTACGAACAAGTAATTTACCCATCACAGACTAATACCGAGAGACAATTTATTCACCACAAACCGGTAGCAACAAGTAATTTAGCCATCACAGACCGTTACCGACAGCCGACTCCCCATCACAGACCGTTATCGACAGCCGATTCCCCATCACAGACGGTTACAGAGAGGTGATTCCACCATCACAGACCGTTATCGACAGGTGATTCCCTCACCAGAGACCGTTCGAGAGGGTGTGAAGCAGAGTTCAAGGGTTAAGACTAGAATTTTAATTTCTTCCAAAAAATTTTAATTAATTAGCTAATTACAGTCTAATTAATGAATTAATCCTCATAGACCTTGAGAGAAAAGCTTTGGACCCATAACAAACGGTATTAGAAATGCAAGGAGAATAGAGAGGTGGAGCAATGACTATGATGAACCTCAACAGTTACGTCGTGTTTCACATTTAAATCCCGAAGGGATTGCGTTAACAGCTTTTTTTCCATTGAACTACATTCAATACTTATTTCGACTCGCTCGCTTGTTTATATTAGCTCTTTAGGATTACAGTTGCCTGATTTGCAAATACAGTCCATGCCTTCCATGGATGCCTTTCAGAAATGCTGTGTTTACTTTCTAGTGGTTACTTACTTTTATATTCTTGTGTTGTCTCTCTGGATATCAAGATATTCGATAGTACCGTATGTGAAGAAGTATGTCGCTGATACAACGGAGTCACGAAGTTTAATTAATCGGTTACGTTTCCATAGCAAACCAACCGAGTCTTATCTGAAGTCAGACAAACGTGGATACGTTGCTCTTGTGTACAGTGGTACTGCTCGAAGTTTTAGTGGAAATTTTCTCAGTCACATTGTTAATCTCAT